ATTCCCTGGTTTTCTATTGCTAGAAGACTCTCAACATGTCTTTAAGGCTAAAAGGCGTTTTACAGGTCTTCGATGAGACCTCTGACACGTTTTCTAAGGTTGGAAGGTATTCTGCAGGTCTTCTAAGAGACAATTTTCAGGTCTTTTAGGAAAAATTGAGTTGGTCAAAATACCTATAACAGCTCTTCTGTGACTAAACGACTCTTCAAAATTCTATTCAATCTTAAGTTAAAACCAACAATTTATTTTAAAAGGTATTTCTCTTCACATTTCTCTAAACCAATAATTCTTGATATTTTCCACGCCACAAGGTCTCCCATTGCTGGAAAACCTCTAATAATAAAAATATTTTTTACAGCTCTCCCCTGGACGGAAAAACTTTTATAGGCCTTCTTTATCTGATAGAAAAGTTAACAAATTTTCTTTCTGAGGTCCTATTTGCAGATCATTTCCCGATAGAAGACATTACAATTTAGCAATCCGTTAGTTAACTAACCCCTCCCTCACATCTCTTCCTTCCGTTAAATTAATTCCTTAGCCAAACAAACTAGATCTCTTGCAATTCTAACCAAAGAGAGAGACATAGAAAAAAATTCCAAATATTTTTGCCATAAAAAGTTTGACAACAAAATCCAAACACAGCAAGCCATTCTTGGACGCCACTTACACACATACATACATACATCCATACACACACACACGCAAAAATTCCAATAATTTTTCTCAAACGGCTAATTAACAACTCTTGGCGAAAACAACTTTTCAAAACAAATAAAAAAAATCGAAAACACAAAATGTTTGAACCCTTTTTTGTCCACAAATGCAGCTACTGTTGTTGGCATACAAGCTGCCTGGCTGACAAACTCACTGGCAGCGGTGCTGCCTTAGTCTCAATTTTCAGAATGAGGCAATGCTTTGGTTCCGTCTCTCTAAAATAGACAACTTTAATTAAAAGCAATTTCCACATATTGCCAACCAAGCAACCAACCAAAAAAAAAAAAAAAATAGCAACGAAATCGAATCAAATCTCCTGGCATCTAAATCCGTACAAAATTGAAACTGGGTGGTGTTTGGAGCCAAGAAGAAAAAAGTTCGTGCTGAAACAAATCAGCTTAAAATTGCCTATTAACAAGCGAACAACAAAAAATAGTAAATCTACTTATAGACAAAAACACACACACAAATGTAAAATCATTTTACGTTTACATATATTGGGTGATCCAACATAAAACATATTCTAACAGGTTGCGGAAATTCGTCTCACACACACACACACACACACTAATACACCTTTAAATTGCGGTTTGTTTTCAATTTTCCACTTATTGGGAATATTGGAAGTTTTCTGCAATTTTTACTGCAACTTGAATATTTTTTTTCGATTAGAAATTAATTTTCTGTCTGCTTTGAAAATAGTTTGATCTGCAAGGGAAATACTTTTAATACAGAGAACTGGAGAAACTCAAACAACCAAAAAATTAGCCACAAATTATATTTAATTAATATAAGTTGCTATGCATTGCCACTAACTATCAATAATTACAATACGAGGGAGGTGTAATAATTTTAGGAAAATTAAAAAGATTTTCAAACCAAAACGTTCTCAAGCAGGAGAGAACATTTTTCCAAGGTATTGACAGCCAGGGGTAGCGCTAATACGGATAGCGCTATTACAAAAAATTGTGTTGAACTTATATCAGCGCCATCTAGGTTCAAATAACAGAATACATATTATCAATCATAGCACACTGTTTAACAATACTGTCTAGATTTTCAGAAAATAAGTTGGGCGCCAGTCGCAACTATCTCGTCACACTTCCTTTCGGCCATAGAAGTGTTTTGGCACCAGTCGTAAGTAGTATTCGGAGTCAAAGTTTGGCAGGGAGTTACTTAAGGCGGAGGACTTTAAGACAATTAAATACGATTTAATAGATGAAAGTCAGATATAAATTGGTTGGACAATGTTGTTCGGTCAGCATGTGCGTAATTCAGAAAAATTAAAATATCTATAGCACAACATTTCACGTCATATAAATTTAAAATTGGGCGGGACAAAGAAAAAAATATAGTTTTTTTTTTTAAATCAGGTAGCATGAAGCATGCTTCCATCGGGTCCAGTCTGAAAAATTGCAGTGTTGTTGTTAGGCGCCAGTCGAGACAATCTCGTCACACTTAAATTCGGCCAAATACATTTTTGCGCACCAGTCGTAAGTAGTATTCGGAGTCCAAGTTTGGTAGGAAGTTACCCAAGACGGGGGAGGTATTCGAAAATGTTTAACCTCTAAATGTGACGCCCTTTACACTTATTACAGCTACATAATGTTTACTTAAATACAATTTAGTGGAAAAAATCCAGATAAATAATAGACGTCTTAACTAAAATTGGCCTAGCAATTAAAAAAAAATAGGACTTTAAATCAGTCAAAGATTGGGCGCCACGTGTATAAAAATTTTCCCATAAATAATCCAAGTCCCTTTGACTCAAATACGGAAATCCTCAAGGTAGCATGAAGCATGCTTCCATCTGGGAAAGTTTGAAACATTGCAATGTCAAATAAATGCTTGGGCGCCACCCATATGGGGGAATTACGAAATAAAAACCCAAGTCGTTTAGAATAAAACAAGAAATTCCTAAAAAGGCAAAATTCAGATAAAAATGCAGGTAAACCCAAATATCTACATCAAAACATCCCTCGACCCATATCAACATATAGCGGTACATATCTTAACAAAAACTGGTGGTAGCCAAAAAAACGATATGCATACCTTAAATAATACGTGGTTGAGCGCCACTTGCATTGATAAGACAAAAACTGGAAATGTATTTTTTTTGATGAAGTCTATCACACAATGCTTGGGCGCCACTCATATGGGAGAACTCCTCAAAAGACAAAATTCAGGTATTTATAAGCGCAAATATCTATATCAAAACATCAATCGACCGATATCAATATATAGTAGCTCGAATTTTAACAAAAACTGGTCGTAGCTAAAAAACAACATTAATACATTAAACAAGTAATGGTTGGGCGCCACTTGTATTGATAAGACAAAAAGTGGCAATGTACATTTTTTCTCGCCACTTTTATGAAGAGTTCCGAAATAAAAACCCGATTCCTTTTGATTGAAATCCTTAAGGCAGCATTGAAGATTGTTGGAAAGTTTAGAGCGCCAAATAAATGCTTGGGCGCCAGTCGTCTAAAAAATTACGGGAAAGACATTCAAATCGCTCAAATGGAAACATGTAATTTCTCAAAAGACAAAAAGCAGCTATGTATAGTACACATAAATATAAAAATCTATATCGCAAAATATCACGCCATTAAAGACTCGAACAAAAACTGGTATTTGCCAAAACAAAAAGTGATACCGAAAATCAGATAATATTTGGGCGCCACTTAAATGAAAAATTCATTCTCTTAAATTGTAAATGGAAAATTCCGAAGGTATCAGTCAATAATTGGTTGCCACTTTAATTCAGAAATAAATCTACAAGTCCCGTAGATTGTCATTGGGAAATCCTCAATATTGCGTTGGGCGCCACTGGTATTGGGAATTTCTTAGCAAGAATCATAAAATCCTCAAGGTGACATAATATTCTACTTTTCGTTGGCTTCTCATATTCCGCACCCTGGTAGTGCCCTGACTTATGCGGATAACTAAAGGGTCATGGAATCCAAGAAGTCCGTTTTTTTCTAAAAGCAAAATGGTATTAAACAAAACTGACGATGGCCCAAAAAATTTTGAAATTAGTCAATGTTTTGGCGCAACTTGTGTGAAAAAGTCTGGAATAAAAACCCAAATCGCTTGGATTAAAGTACGGAAATCATACAGGTACCATCTGACGAAACATGGAAGTTCAAACAATATGCTTGGGCGCCCCTCATATGGGGAATTGCGAAAAACTACTCAAGTCGCTTAGAGTGAGTTATAAAATTCCTCAAGGTGATCTTTCACACTTTTTTCCCTGAACTTACTTATGAGTATTATTGAGCGATCAAGGCACCCAATAAGTCCAGAAACGTTTTTTCTCAGGACAAACTCGAAAAAAAAAAATAGATCTGTGACAATTTAAGTGAACTTCAGGATAGAGTGAAAAATTTAGGTCTCTGTAATCGAAGCCTAGCCCGGGGTACCAAATACTCCCTTTTTTGTTCTTAGTTTTTTTTAAATTTTTACACCGATTTAAAGCCACATGGATATGCTCGACCCTCGTTACCTCAAAACCAGAAACTGAACTTTTCTTTCTCCAAGTCTCCTTAGGGGTAATAGTTCAATTAATTAAGCCGCTTAAGAAAAACACACACATATACACCTTATAATTAAACGATAAATCTTTCCATTTTTAGAGTCTTACATTGAAATAGAGAAATCTTCCTGGTAGCATCTTGCCATGTTTGAAGCGTTGGAGTGTCAAGTAGATGCTTGGGCGCCACTCAAATTGGAAACTATGGAATAAACATCCAAGTCGCTTAGATTGCAACTTGGAACTCCTCTAGATGGTCTTTTACATATTCCACATACTCATGTCGTCCTTGCAAATTATTGAACGATCATGGAACCCAAGAAGTCCTGAAATGGTTTTTGTGAAGACAAATTCGGAAAAAGGTTAAAGTTTTGTAGAACCTAACATAGGTTCTTATTTTCAAATGAATTATGAAAACATTGAACACAGAAAGAAGAAGCTAAGCAATCTAGGGTTCCGCAAGTGAATCCTAGCCCCAGGTACAAATAATGTTCGGTATGGGCTTTTAATCCCTTTTATCTTTTTAATTTTTAAATCGATGCTCGACCCTCGTTATTTGAAATACCTTAACTTATATTTTCTTTATCCAAGTTTCCATAGGTGTAATAGCTCAATTAGTTAAACAGCTTAAGAAAAACACAAACACACGCACACACATCTACACTCCATAATCAAACGATAAACGTTTCATTTTTTCGGAGTCTGCGTTATATCTCTTCACCTCTCTCTCTTTTGGTACGTTTCTCTAACTTACCTTCTTGTTTGCCTTGGTATCGACTGGGTCCAACAAACTGGTGCCTTATGCGTTTGTAGATTACGCGATGACTTATATGTCAAATCGCCACACTCCGATTGCCATACTTGTAGATTACCCTCGGCTGGATAAAATGTGTAGAGACTGTTCGTGGATGAGGCAATAACCGGTGATCCACCGGCTGCTGCCACCAATGCAGCAGCGGCATCACCAACATTCGTTGAATTGAGAACGGTTGTGGCAGGCGGTAAAGCTGATACGGCACTGGAGGCCAGCGTAGCACTGGATATGGGCTGGACGAGCAGTGCCTGACTTGTGGCTCCGGGTGGTAGTGTGGTGACCATAGGATTCTGGGCAGCCGTGCCGGGGAATTTGTAGTGTTGCATACGACTGGGCGTAGAGGCGTGATTCGCCGTTGCCCCGGCCGGGGATTCATGTTTGAGTATGAGGGCATTCGAGGGATCATAGCCATGACGTTGACGCGAAATGGCATCCACTGAATGGGAGCGTATGGCTGCACCGGAACGATGCATTAGTAGGAGATTGTTGCGATTAGAGGAGTTGGAGGCGGAGCCAGAGTTGCCCGATGTTTTCAGTATTGAGGGCGACATGGCCCGGGTCTTGGCTCGACGAAAACCACTGCTATTGGAATTCGCGGTGTAGCGATGATTTTGTACCGCTGCCGAAGCCACCACAGGTTGACGTTGCTTTTGATACTGCAAACGTTGCACGCTTTGGGGAGAACCCATGGCCGTGTTGGAAGAGGCAGAGGACACAGGAGAGATGCCATTGCCCGGACATGATAGTGTTGTCTGTAGAGCTGGTCCATACCTGTTTTCGGTTGAACCCCTCCTTTGCTCTTTGAAATATTTTTCCAGTAGCTGCTGCTGTTGTTGAATGGATGACGAGCCTACCACCATGGGACGCCTGGTGAGTTGGGGAACACCCATGGCTCCGGCAATTACACGATTTTTGGATAAATCCATAGACTTGGCTGTGGCCAAAACATGACCTGTAGACGATGCTGCGATGGGAGCTGTGGCCGGAGAAGAGGTGACGGCCGTCGCCACTGACGACGACAACGAAGATGAGATGGACGATGATGATGTCGTCGTGGTAGCTGACAAATCAGCATTGGCTGACAGGCCGCCAGTGGCAGCTGATGACAATTGTGCCAATGTAGAACCACCGACATTTTGATGTAATTGATTGTGTTGTTGGCTATGGTATTGTTGTTGGTGTTTGTTATTTGCATTTGCTATTGTTGTTGTTGTTGGCTTGCCAATATTGCCATTGTTGTTGCTACTGTGTTGATGATGATGATGACTGCTGCTGCTGGCTGGGCCATTGTTTGCCGTTCCACTTGTTGGATGCTCTGAATCCGTTGAAACCCTATCCGGATCACTTTCAAAACCTTCGTCGAGCGATCGTGTTGGGCTCAAGATGGGTTTCGAATGTTGCTGTTCCAGTTTCGTTGTTGTGCTGTGCATGGACGTCATTATTACATCTTTTTTATGTGACATATTTGCTAAAAGAAATCAACAACAACAACAATGTGTGATGAGGTGTTGGGTGGAGTGGTGCGGTGTGGGGTGTCACTTAACACTTGACAACTCAACGAATGGGGGGCACTTTTGTATTCTTACAGAAGATCGAATTACTTGAGCAGTATTTTCTGATTCTTCTTTTTTTTTTTTTGTTGCTGTCACCGTTTGCAATTTACACTTGAGCGAATCTTTTTGTAAGCGAGTCGCTTGGTCAAACGGACAAACACAACACCGAACAAAATAATACGTCTTAGCCTCTGGCTTATACAACTTTTGCAAATCCGTAAAACCGGCAGATATTCAATTTCGTTAAAGTGATTTTCTTTTGCAATTCTCTTTTTTTATTCTTCACAGTTTGCGATTTTCAAAATTATATTTATTTTATATTTTAATTTTAAATTTTCAATTTTTTTTTAATTTTTTTATTTTTTCCCAAAACTTGTCACTTTTTCTAAATTCTCTTTTTTTAGGTTTGATTTTTCATTTTGTTGTTGTTGTTGTCATAACTTTCATTTATTGCTCTATATTTTTTTTCTCCAAAATTCTCTTCAAAACTTCATTTCACTATTTTTTCAAAATTTTATTTCTAACGTATCCGCTGTTAGATATTCAATCACTCATTATTTCGTCTTCTTTTCTTTTCGGCCGTTACGTTTTCTCTGTTTTGTGTTTTGCGTTTGGGGAGCTTGTCTTGTCTTGTTCTCCGCTAACTGTGTCTTGTGCGCACGAAAGTCGTTTTCATACTAAACATGCATCGGAACGTATGGTTGGTACGTTCGGTGGTGGTTCAGTGGTTCGCTGGTGCTCTGTATATTTTTTGCTCTTACTGTTGTTGCTGCTGCTGTTGTTGCTTCTTCATCATCATCGGTTTTTTAGCGTTTTTTTTTTGTGTGTTTTGTGGGCTTGCGGTTCATCTAACAGCAGCCAACAACTGGCACTTGCTTCATGCAGCCAGTGTTGGCATGGGAGAATTGAAAATAGTACCTCGTGAAAATGAAACAAATTTTTTCGTACCAACCTAAGTGGGATGAGATAGTTGTGATTTCTGTTAAAGGTTTATTTTTTGTAGGGAGTTATCACATAAAATGGCCAATCCATTCCAACTTCGAACTTAAATTAAGTTTGATCGTAACACTATGATGTATGAAGTTTGAACCAAATTCTCTAATTTAGATTCTTAATAATAATAATAATGTGTGAAAAAGTCCGGAATAACAACCCAAGCATCTTTGATTAAAATAGGGAAATCCTAGAGGAACCATCCGGCCAAATGTTAAACATGGAGGGTCAAATAAGAGCTTGGGCGCCACTCATATAGGAAACAGCCTATCCATTCCAACTTCGAACTTAAATTAAGTTTGATCGTAACACTATGATGTATGAAGTTTGAACCAAATTCTCTAATTTAGATACTTCGGAATAGTGTGTGAAAAAGTCCGGAATAACAACCCAAGCATCTTTGATTAAAAAAGGGAAATCCTAGAGGAACCATCCGGCCAAATGTTAAACATGGAGGGTCAAATAAGAGCTTGGGCGCCACTCATATAGGAAACAGCGAAAAATATTTGTATGCTTAAAATCAGTCAATCAATACCAATACCAATACCCAATACCAATTGTTTGGGCCCAACTTTTATGAAACATGCAGGATCAAATTAAAGCTTGGGCGCCACTCATATGGGAAATTGCGGAAATATAATTGTATGCTTTAAAACAGTCAATGTTTGGGCGCCACTTGTGTGAAAAAAAACTGTCATAAAAACCCAAGTCTTTTAGACTAAAATAGGGAAATCTTAGAGTTACCATCCTGTCAAATTTGAAACATGGAGTGTTAAATAAATGCTTGGGCGACACTCATATGGGGAATTGGAAAAACGTAATTGTATGCCTTGAATCAGTCAAAGTTTTGGCGCCACCCAAGTCTCTTAGATTAAAAAAGAGATATTCTCCTGGTACCTGGTCAAGTGTAAAACATGGAGAGTCAAATAAATGCTTGGACGCCACTCATATGGGAAACGTAATTGTATGCTTTGAATCATTCAATGTTTGGGCGCCACTTGTGAGAAAAAGTCTGGAATAAAAACCCAAGTCTCTTAGACTAAAATAGGGAAATCTTAGAGGTAACATCCGGTCAAATGTGAAACATGGGGGGGTCAAATAAATCTTTGGCGCCACTCATATGGGAAATTGTGAAAAAAATGGTATGCTTTGAATCAATCAATGATTGGGCGCCACTTGTGTGAAAAAGTCCGGAATAAAAACCCAAGTCCCTTATATTAATGTAGGGAAATCATATAGGTGAAATGTAAAACATGGAGGGTCAAATAAATGCTTGAGCGCCACTCGCGGGAAGTTGCGAAAAAATAATTGTCTGCTTTGAATCAATCCACATTCGGGCGCCACTTGTGTGAAAAATTGTGTGGGATAATAATCCGAGTCTCTTAGATTAATATAGAAAATCTTAGAGGTACCATCCAGTCAAATATGAAACATGGAGGGTCAAATAAATGCTTGGGCGCCACTTATATAAGAAATTGAGAAAGAAGCATTCCAGTCGCTTAGGGTGAGATATGAAATTCCTAAAGGTGACTTTTCTCATATTCCCCAAAATATTAGGAAAATTTTGGTTGAAAATGTTAACCTTCAAGCGAGCCAACAATAAGACATCAAGACTCCAAGCCTTACCTAAACGCCAGGAATTTATACAATCAATTTTTCCTCAACCTTTTTCGAGTTAACGCCTGAAAATGTAATTTTGGTGGATGGTGTGAAAAGAACAAATATTTGACACAAAATTAAATTAAATATCTAGGTTTATTATCGGAATCTTTTTGTAACCCTTTTCCAAATTGAATTCATTGTCCAATAGCTAGTTTGGTTTGTAAAACATTTAGTACGTTCAGGATTTCAGCCCCCTAAATTCCCTGACGATCAAATTTAGTACAAATATAGTACATATTTCCCAAACCACCTCCAAATCTCAATCACAGATACCAAGAGAGACATACATATCAAATTTTAGGATTCCAGCCCTATTCCTTCCCCCAATAGCAAATTTAGTACTTTTCGTATAATTTTAGTACATATTTCCAAAACCAGCTCGGTCTCTCAACCGCAGACACCAAGAGATCTTTATATAAAATTTCAGAATTACAGCTCTATTACTTCATCCAACACCAAATTTAGAACCATTTAGTACTTTTCAAAAACTTAAACTTCACATCTCCAAAAACACCTTCACATCTTAACTCCACAAATCAACATGGAACTCAGTATCAAAGGTCATGATTCCAGACCTATCCCTATGCCCAACATCAAATATAGTACCATTTAGTACTATTCGTACGAATATAGGACGAAACTTCCAAACCACCGTCAAAACTCAAACACAAATGTCATCACTAATCTAAAAATTAAGTTTCAAAACACCTAGTACTAAATTTCAGATTTCAAGCACTACCTGTTCACCCAATACCAAATTGTCCCAAATATAGTACTATTTAGTACTTTTCGTTCACTTGTAGTAGAGATTTCAAAGCCACATCTTTACCTGTACGAACCCTAAAACAAAATTTCAAAATTCCAGCTTTACCAAAATGTTTCAAATTGTAATTTTCGTACACATTTCCAAAACCAACATTAATTTTTAAATCTATCACCAACAGTGATCCCAATACCAGAAAATCGAAATTCCAGGTTCATCCGTTCACCCTTAACAAAGTTAAGTACCATTTAGTACATTTCACACACTTAGTACCAAAACCACCTCCATATATCAAACTTACCTTTAAATCTTCACATACAACAAATGGGACCATTTTAGAAGTTCAGTATCATTTTATAACTTTTAGTAATAATGACTCGCATTCCAAAGTTCAGAATTCGATCTCCTTGCTTTTATCCGATAGAAAGTATACAATTTTTAGTATATTTTGTACTTTTCGCACCATTTTAATACGAATTTCAAAAAACCCAACTTAATCCCACACCTACGCACTAAGACTGACCCTCGTGCAAAATTTCTCAGTCAGTCAATTCTTGTAGAGCCACTTATAGGACACATTTCAATAAAAATTTGCTATAATTAACCTCTGTATGTCAGCAGAGACCTACCCAAAATTCAGAATATCTGTTTAACTATTTTCCTCAATATTTAGTATTTGGAACCATTTCGTCTGTTCTTTATACCCTACAACACTATGTGTTGGGGGTATTATAAGTTTGATTGGCCCAAAAATTATGTAACACCTCGAAATATTGGTTTCCCACATAGGAAAGCTGAGTCGATCTAGCTATGTATGTCCGTCCGTCCGTCTGTCCATGTTAATTTGTAATCACTCTACAGGTTGCAATTATGGCCTTATCTTCACGAAATTTGGAATGGAGGTCGGGGTCGGGCCAGAATAGAACCCTATTTCTTTTTGAGGTGATCGCCAAATGTTTAGGGGTTGAAATGGACCAAATACTGAAAAAATTTCGGATTTTGCAGTAACTATACAGGTCGCAATTATAGACCAATCGACGACGGAATTTCGCATGTAGGTAGAGTTTAGGGCGGGGAAGAAGCCTACCAATTTGGGTGGTCATCGGATAATATTTAGCGGGTAAAATAGACCATATATTTTGTGTTGAAAAAATTCAAAATTTTTCATTAAACCGCGAATATTTTAAATCCCGGCGAAATTACAAAGCCATGACAAGGTTACTTCTGACCTTTACATTGATGTTAACATCCAACAAATCGGATATATAGCAAAATATGTGCGATATATATGTCTATTAAAGAAGATATGCTTGAAAGATCTCTTATATGTCGAGAACGGCTGAACTGATTTCGTAATATTTCTACAGCTAACAAAACTAAGTAGTTAGGATTTCAGGATATCATATACAGATCGCATTTATGGCCCGATCCTTACCAAATTTTGCATGGGGATAAGTTGAGGGTCAGAATAGAAGCCTACTCTTTTTGGAGATGATCGCCATATATTTAGGAGTTGAAATGGACCAAAAACTGCATAATTGTCAGCAGGTCGTAATTATCGCCCGATCCTCATGCACATTTGAATGGGGCTTACCGGACATTGCAAAAGCCAAGCAGTTTTGGATGGCCATCCAAAAATATTCAATGTGTGAAGGATTTGCCAACTTTTGTAGACAAAATACGAAATGTCCATTCCAGTGACTTTTTGGAGAATTCACAAATACAGGAAAGACGCACTTCTGACTATTTCGTTAACGCTGATTTCGTTGAAGAATATAGTCAAATGTCTGTATCTCATATAGATGCGTTTCAGTCAAAAACCAATAATAAATGTTAATATTTTGCCACTTCTGAGAGATTATAGGTCTTTGGGAAATATTGGTTCCAGATCTAGGAAGACCATTTAAGTGCAACATCTACCAATAAATTCGAAATGAGCAAATTAGTTTAAGTTGCTATTGTTCGAAAATTAGAGAACGAAACCTGATGGTTTTCTTTTATTATTTGTCACAATATCTTGTGGAATTCTTTCGAGTATCTCGCCTATATAAACTGTATCGTTTATTATAGTGTTGTAGGGTATTCAACGCCTTTGCTTACTTGTTTTATTTAGCCTTTGCTTACTTGTTTTATTTTAAATTCGAAAATTTTAAATTTTTACCTCATCAACGAAAACAGAAAAATTCAAGGTTGTACCTTAATGTATATCAGTCATTAGCCACTCAGTCATCTCTCAACAATTTGTCATATCGCAACGCAATT